TAAGTATAGTATTGTCATATTGATTTAAAAATGTATGGGTGAGCCAGATAAAAGACAGAGAGAATAAAGTCCCCATAAGTCACAATAATGAGGACAATAAAAAAGTTTATTTGGTATATTCAATATTAAATGTATTTTGTTTTAAACAGGTCAAATCATGTTCTGACTTAAAAGAGTCAGTCCAAAACTAAAATAAATTTATTGAAATATTTAAGCCGGGCATTGCAGGGCTTAAAGGAAGTACACCTAGCTTTGATTGGAAATTTTGTTCTGCAAATTGACTTAAACAGGTCAAGTCATGTTCTGACTTTAAAAAATCAGTCAAAAACTAAATTTATTGAAATTATTAAGTCAGGCATTGCCATTTGATATTAATGATAATGTATGGAAAAATCAATTAATAAACTCAACAGTGGCAGATTCAGAAGGGGGCTGAGAGGAAGAACACATAGCTTTGATTGGAAATTTTGTTCTGCAAATTGACTCAAACAGGTCAAATCATGTTCTGACTTAAAAGAGTCCGTCAAAAACTAAATGGATATGCATAAAATCTGGTTCATAATTTTTTGAAAAGATGGAGAGATTAATGAGTCTATATTTTGTTATTCCGACTCACAAATGTCACTATGTGACAAATTTCGGGAATTTTTCTCTCCTTTTGACTGATTCCTATATGTTGTATGGGTGCCATAACTATCACTACAACATGTACAAAGTCAGCACATTCTAAGGGACGCCATCAAAAGACCAATGTAGGATAAAAAAACTTAAATCAAATAGTTTGGGGGTGGGGGTGGGGTTAAAGTTGCTGCAAGTTTTGTTTATCCAAAATCGATTTTACATAAATCCATATTGGTCAATCAATCTTTCCCAAATTAAGTTAAGAAGGGGGGTGGGTGGGTCAGTGAAAAAACTATGTGATGTGAATTAAGTTTTTTATCCTATATTGAACTTTTGATGTCGTCCCTAATGACTTGACCTATTACAGTATTTCTGTCTGAATTTTTTATGAATATTCTGTATTTACTAATTTAACTACATGTATGTTATTGCAAGTGTATTAATTAGCTTTGTTTATTACTTATATTAAACTAAACCTCTATTAATCAATTATTTTTACTCTGGTTATTGATTATATAAAAAAAAGCCTATTACTATGTGACTGTAATCTAAACTCTGATTGTTAACATCCTGGATTGCATATCTGCATGACCATTAAACTCATGGTATACCCATTTTATTTGAGGATATAAAAGTATTGTTTTTTCAATATAACATTTTCAGACACATTGAATCTGTGAAGACAACTTTCAATTTGACTTTAGAAATTAAAGAGTTTGTAAGCAAAATGTTGGGGAAATTTAATTATAATTAAGAATGTTTAAAATTAGTTAAGAAAAAAGCCGACATTAATAATGTTAAAAAAAATTTGAGGAGAAAAAACATACAAATTCAGACCAAATATGGTGACTTTGTTGTCCTTCAAGAAGCCGTACATATAATCCATAATATTTTCACTGTTTTTTTAAATACATGTAAAAGTTGAAAGATAACTATCTATTGATTTTTTTTTAAATAGCTTTTTTCACAACACTTATAACTTTGTAATTTATGTTCCATTGTACACTTGTTATTCTTAATATCTTTAAAAATTGTTGTTTGGGAACAAAATCTTGTCAGGGTTTCTTATGGTACTAGCATGACAAGTGCATTCATATTCTAAAATACTCTAAACATTAAAAAAAGTCAGTAATTTCAGATCATTCTGAGTCTTTCTGACCTTATTAAGTCAGAACATTCAGACTTTTATAAGTCAGAACATTCAGACTTTTATAAGTCAGAACATTCTGACTTCTAATGTTCTTCTCACTTCTGTAGAAACAAAGACTATCTATGTCTCAAATAAGAGGTAAATGCTTCATGTGGCTAAGCATCTGGGGTAAGAATTATAGATGTGTAATTTCAGAGGAAAACAAATATGCCAAAATGTTTTTTTTTTTTCATATAGATTAGACCGTTGGTTTTTCCGTTTGAATGGTTTTACACTAGTAATTTTTTGAGGCCCTTTATAGCTTGCTGTTCGGTGTGAGCCAATGCTCCGTGTTGAAGGCCGTACCTTGACCTATAATGGTTTACTTTTATAAATTGTAACTTGGATGGAGAGTTGTCTCATTGGCACTCATACCACATCTTCCTATATCCATGTAATTAATAAGATGTGATGCATGTGAGAGGAAAATAATACTGAATAGACAATTCTGTTTGCACAAACACTGATAAATATAATATGTAAAGGTGGTCTCTCAGCAGATTAAAATAAACAAGAAATAATTGTAACAGGATGCTGTTACGAAGTCTCCCAAACAAATTTAAGCTCCCATAATTCGTCATTCCCATGGTTGCCTGACATTGGGCAAGTTCCAGTACAAATTGGTTTTGTCTAGTAAAGTGATATGCATAAGTGACGCCTAGGGTTTGACCCTGCATGTCATTCAAATCTTCTTGAAATGACGAACAGGAATATCATATGGTTTACCTTTAGGGGTGGTGATCCAGAACATTTCAAAAAGGGGGATGGGGATGACCCCAATGGACTTCCCCTATATTTCATTTGATTTGTTTTATTGTCCTGTGCAAGAATGTATATGGTGTAGGGGTGGGGATCTCGACCGTTTACAAGTTTTCAAACAGTAGGGGGTGGGGTGACCCTCAGGGACTCCACCTTTATTTCATTTGATTTGTCTTATTGACCCTTACAAGAATATATATGGTTAAGGGGTGGGGATCCCGACCGTTTACAAGTTTTCACACAGGAGGGGGTGGGGGTGACCCCAAGGGACTTCCCCTATACTTCATTTGATTTGTTTTATTGTCCTATTCAAGAAAATATATGGTTTAGGGGTGGGGATCTCGACCGTTTACAAGTTTTCAAACAGGAGGGGTAGGGGTGACCCCCAGGGACATCCCCAACATATCATTTGATTTGTTAAATTGTCCCATACAAGAATATATATGGTTTAGGGGTGGGGATCTCTACCGTTTACAAAATATAAGAACATTTGCAAATGGCAGGGGGTGGGGGTATGCCTGGAGACAAGCCCGGTATATTTCATTCAAATCAATTTGACATTATAAAGAGGAATAGAGAAATGACAGGGATAGGGGTGATCCCTGGAGACTTGCCCTACATTTCATTTGATTTGTTTTATCATGTCCCATGATCATAAATGAAGACCAGGTGTGTGCATCACTTATTGTTCTCAAGTTATAACTTTAAAAATAAAAAAAAAAACCCTTTGGTTCTTTAGTTAAACCCCTCCCTTCCTTTTTCTTTTATTAAAATTTTTCCCATTTTCGTTTCATTATCATCATATCAATATTCACAATGATCGTTTTTCTCATAGGGAGAAACGAATCAGAAAGGTTAAAAAATCAGTTCGTGATTGAGTTTAAAAATAGAAAAATCACGTGACGATGTTCAGCTCAAAGCAATAATTTTACTTTTTAAATTGCACTGACTGGTTAATAATGTTAATATTGTTTAAGACAACACGAGTTATCTCCCGAAAATAACAATTCATTATCATAACAACATTTTCTGACCTGAACAAGTCAGAATTGTCAAACACCAGGTCATCTAAAAGACCACGCGTCCGTATTTACAGGTCGCGCTCCTTCATGAAACAGCAAAAAAATCATTTGCAAGGAACTTCTTTATAGGCAAAAAATATAAAAATGCCCATGAAAATACGGAGGTAATATGAATTACCTTTCTAAAAATGCCCACAATGACCTAGATTTTCACTAAAAATCGTAAATAATCAATATAATATTCAACGACTTCTCGTTCGAGACACTTCCAAAACAACGACTCTCAAACACGTGATCTCTTGCAAAAAACCACGTGATCGTATGTGTCGTAGATCGGCGGCAAATTCAAAATAACTTCTGGTTTGACGGACTCGAGTGAAAACTACGCAAAACAAAAATTGACGCGTACAGGTCAGAATTTCAAAACACTTTCTGACTTGAAGAAGTCATTTTATTCTGACTTGTTTATGTCAGAGCTCTGACTGAATATGTAAGATTTCAATTATGAATTCGGACAAGTGAGTTAAGAGTTCGGACAAGTTGATTTTCTTGCAACTTGTCCAAAGGGACAAGTTAGAAAAATGATAATGTAGAGGCCTGGGTAAAATAAGTCATTTAGGGCAATAACTTCTATATGAAGTTATCTGACAGTTTTATGTTAATGGACAGTGGGTAGATCTCAATATTCTGAACATTTCAGACTTTCTCCTTTCATAGCAGTTTTCAAGATAATAGACAAAACTCCATTTTACCCTTATGTTCCATTTTTATCCATGTCAGCCACTGTTGTTAGGCAGGCGGGGTCATAAGACACATTTTTCAAACTAGATACCCCAATGATGAGTGTGGCCAAGTTTGGTTAAATTTGGTCTAGTAGTTTCAGAGGAGGATTTTTATAAAAGTTAATGGACAAAAACTATGCATGGACGAATGACAACAAGTGATAAGAAAATCTCACTTGGCCTCTTGTCTTAAATCATTACCCCTTCTGAATGTTTTGACTATGGGAATTTAGTTTCAGTTGTGAAATTAAGTGGTCATGGGCCAGTGACCAACTGCTTGTTTTGAATCCTGATGAATGCTGTGCCTTATATGTATAGGTTAACCCATGATCAAAGTGCTACTTTTGAATGGCTTACTGTCTTTGAAAAGGGTAATAAGACCTAAAAAAAATTTCTTCATGAGGTACTTGGCTTTATCAGACATCTCAACAGATCATGACAATTTTCTGTTGGTACCTGGCACCTCTGTGATTTATCATACTAAAATATGAAATATTATTTCAATTCTGTATCAGCCAATTTAAGTTGACTGTTATATTCTAATAGTATTTATTGTAAGCTGTTTATTCAAAGGAAACTGATTTAATGACATAAAGAAGACAAGGTTTGCGGTTTCAGAAGATTTACCTGCAGATGTTGTAGGCTTCTTCTCGTCCTCTGAGTCACTACTCGAGCTATCATCGGCAGGTATGCCTGGCACTGCACCACTCTTCTTCTCATGAATAATTAACAATGTCTCTATTTCATTACTGGTAACATTACGAGATGTATCTGCTCTTGAAGGTCCTGCAATATCTGATTTTGGTACACCCTGAAATATCGTATTAGTAGATTAAAAATACAAATATATCTTAAATAAAATGCTCCGCAGGGCGCAGCTTGATACGACCGCAGAGGTCGAACCCTGAACAGTTGGGGCAAGTATGGACACATCATTCAAGCTTGATACAGCTCTGAATTTGGATTGTGATTAAATATTTGACACAGCATAGGTTTCTGACACAGAATGAATGTGGTCTAAGAACTTAAAAATTTTAAATTGGACATTCACCTATTATGGTCCAATATCCAAAATCTAAATACATGGTTAGATTCAGCATATCAAAGAACCCCAAGAATTCAATTTTTGATGAAATCAAACAAAGTTTAATTTTGGACCCTTTTGACCTCAATGTGGACAAAGTTGATAACGGGGCCCAAAAATCAAAAATCTAAATACATGGTTAGATTCAGCATATCAAAGAACCCCATATATTCAATTTTTGTTGAAATCAAACAAAGTTTAATTTTGGACCCCGATTTGGACCAACTTGAAAACTGGGCCCATAATAAAAAAAATGCTCAGCAGGGCGCAGCTTGATACGACCGCAGAGGTCGAACCCTGAACAGTTGGGGCAAGTATGGACACAACATTCAAGCTTGATACAGCTCTGAATTTGGATTGTGATTAAATATTTGACACAGCATAGGTTTCTGACACAAAATGAATGTGGTCTAAGAACTTAAAAATTTTAAATTGGACATTCACCTATTATGGTCCAATATCCAAAATCTAAATACATGGTTAGATTCAGCATATCAAAGAACCCCAAGAATTCAATTTTTGATGAAATCAAACAAAGTTTAATTTTGGACCCTTTTGACCTCAATGTGGACAAAGTTGATAATGGGGCCCAAAAATCAAAAATCTAAATACATGGTTAGATTCAGCATATCAAAGAACCCCATATATTCAATTTTTGTTGAAATCAAACAAAGTTTAATTTTGGACCCCGATTTGGACCAACTTGAAAACTGGGCCCATAATCAAAAATCTAAATACATGTTTAGATTCAGCATATCAAAGAACCCTAAGAATTCAATTTTTGTTAAAATCAAACTAAGTTTAATTTTGGACCATTTGGACCATAATGTAGACCAATTTGAAAACAGAACCAAAAATTAAGAATCTAAATATACGGTTAGATTTGGCATATCAAATAACCCCAATAATTCAATTTTTGGACCCATTGGACCTCAATGTGGACCAATTTATATACGGGGCCCAAAATCCAAAAACTTAATACATGGTTAGAATCAGCATATTAAAGAACCCCAAGAATTCAAGAATAAAACCCCATTGAAATTGGTCAAGAAATAAGCAATTTATACGAAGTATCTTCTTTTGCACAATACTGTGCAATTGAATATTTCTTGCTATTGCGCAATACTGTACAATTGACAATTTCTTGCTATTGCGCAATATTGTGCTACTGGATATTTCTTGCTATTGCACAATACTGTGCAATTGAAGATTTCTTGCTATTGTGCAATACTGTGCAATTGAAAATTTCTTGCTATTGCACAATACTTATTATATAATAATTTACACATCCTGTTTGGTGTGTATCTCCTATCATATCATTATTATTTGCTTTTAAATATAAAACAGAAATAACCAACTTAAAATGGAAAATTTTAAAAGAAAAAAAAAAGGAAAAAAAGAAAAAAAAGGAAAAAAAAAAAAAATCCCCCCCCAAATTTTTTGAACCCCCTTATGATTCATCACCCCCAAACTCAATCCCAGCCTTCCCTTTGTGGTATGGTACCTTGCAGTACAATTTCAGAGAGATCCATACACTTGAACACAAGTTATTGTCTGGAAACTAGAAAAATACTTACTTTTGACCCCTTTTTGGCCCCTTATTCCTAAACGTTTTGGGCAATTACCCCCAAACTCAATTCCAGTTTTCCCTTTGTGATATGGAACCTTGTAGTACAATTTCAGAAAGATCCATACACTTACACACAAGTTATTGTCATGAAACTAGAAAAATGCTTGTTTTTTGCCCCTTTTTTATCCCCTAATTCCTAATATTTTGAGGCAATTACCCCCAAAATCAATCCCAGCATTTCCTGTGTGATATGGAACCTTGTGGTACAATGTCAGAGAGATCCATACACTAAAACACAAGTTATGTCTGGAAGTTACAAAAATGCTTATTTATGGCCCCTAATTCCTTAACTGTTGGTACCATAACCCCCAAAATCAATCCCAACCTTCCTTTTGTGGTATTGAACCTTATGGTAAAATTTCATAGAGATCCATTCACTTAAACTAAAGTTAGAGTGCGAAAACCAATGTGTCTTCGGACGACGCCGGACGACGACGACGCCAACGTCATACCAATATACGTATATAAAATTGCCTCAAAATACAATCGTATAAAAATTATCTTCAAACTTCGATTACAAAATGAACAGGAGAAAATCATGCAGTGGTAATATACAAAATGAGTCAAGACCACACTGTGTTGTCTTTCTCTAACACAGGTCATAAGGAATATCTAATAAATTTAGAAAATATAGACCTCATTTAGCACTCCCCCGCAGTGGTCATCGTAGTGTGTTTGTCTTCAGTGTGGTAGGTCATAGGTTTGATGCCTGGCAGGATCAAAACACAAAGACTTGATAATGGGTATTTGCTGCTTCTCTGCTAAGTATGCAGCATTTAAGAGTAAGAGCAAAAACTGATCAGATTGGAGAATAATGTGATCAGGTAGAATGACATGTCTTCTGGAGTACTGTTAAAACTCTGGATCAGCATGTCGGACTTACGTACAAAGCATGTTTCATATAACATTAACATGTTGTCATATGCATGTAATAATAGCCACTGCGTGTACAACGGCTTTCCATCATCATCATCATCCCCTTAAAAAGTGAATCCTCAAATTTGACTCCTACTTTGATCTCATTTTAAGAACTTCAAATGCAGAAACAATATTACAGGATCCACAAAATATACTTTCAAAATGAAAAAAAAAAGTGACATAGGTTTGTCTGAAACCATTTGAGAGTGTTAGAGAATATCTCTGTTTTGGATTGTACTTGCATCTTATTAAACTTTCAAAAATTATTTAGGCAGAAATCAGATGCAGAAGTAGTGGAAAGATTAGCAAACATCTATTTTATTTAACTGTTAATTATATTAGGTGGATTGATTCAATATTAAAATTAGACAGACAGATGAAGTGATGAACAAACAAAATGACCAGCTTATTATTAATTTGTGGCATTTAGCCAGCTTTAATAGTATAAAATTTATGATTTCTACCTAGAAACTTGATTTTTTGTCCATAAAACCCATATACTTACTTTTAAAGGAGTGTACAAGAACAAGATCTTTATAAGTCTTGTAACATTAAACATATTTTTTTGTTTTACTGTTTCAATTCATCAATATCAAAATAACAAGCATTCAATGGCATGCTGTAAGATGTTTCAACCTATATTTTTCTCAAGTAAAGTGCCTGTATCAAGAATCGAGTATAACAGTTATATTTCATTAGTTGCATAACTTTTTCCTATTTTTGTTGTTGAAATTTTTGACTTTAAGAATTTGAAACATATCATAAATGTAATTTCCTATTCATTCTGTTTTTATCACTAGCTGTGAGTATAGAAGGAAGAGTTAGTGGAGGTATGCATACTGACTATCTATGGTTAACAGGGTGCATGAATGTTTCATATTCCTTATTAATACAAAGGGGCCTCTACAATTCTTTAAATTTCGTTTACCAACTAAGCCTCAAGTGTTGGAGCTGAAGTTGGAAAAATGCTCTACATACTCTAAGAGACCAAAATAATTCAAAATAAGACTAACATAATGGTTATTCATTTATAATACTGTAAATTCAGAAATTATTGTGATTTTTTTTTTTAATATTGCAAAAAATGTGCAATAATAAAAAACTTATATAATTTCAGTAGTGATGTACCTTTACAAAATTTTATGCATTCACATTTTTTAATTAGGTCTTGCATCTTTGCCAGTAATGAGTGATTCACATTTGTAATGCACACATTAATTTCTGAATTTACATTATCTTGATATCATTCTTACAAATTCATTGGTATCATTAGATGCCCCATCTACTGTACTCTCTGTCATCCAGACTGGTCTCTCCCTGACAGCTTCTTTCTTTTTCTCTTCATCCACTGTAATGGTAACAGTACTCTCTGACATCCCGAAATCACGACCACGTGTAGCATCTCCACTCCAGGTCGTTTTATCTCCTTGTGCTGCAGATTTCTGTTTAGATCTAAAAAATCAAAGTGTAAATCTTGCTAAAACAGATGAAATTAAACTAAACTAATAATGGTCCTGATGGTATCAAACTTAATTTTTTGTTCAAGTTCAGTAAAAGGGGTATTACACATTTATCTTAGATTAAAGCATTAAGATTAGATCTAGATTGAAATCATTATGTTTTCATATATCAGAATATCAATGAGGCAGCAATATAATGACACAAAATAGCAAAAAGTATCTATCGATACAATTAACAGATGTGGGTATATGTAAATGAGAGAACATAACTAAAATAAGAGTGCACACACAGAAATGTCTCGACTACTTTAATGATCATGATCATTATTGAATCAAGGTTGAAATATTTTAAAAGAAAAAAGGTTATATACTCCAATTATTACATAAAATTAACATTATCAAGATCCAAGTAAATGTGGTCAAGTTCAAATGAACCAGGTCAGACAGAATAATACACCTTTAAATTCATTCAATACACAACATATTGTTACCCTATAATATTGCTAATAAGTTGAAATTTTAAATGAAAAAAACCTACTGTACAGTTTGTTAAGAAGTCTTGAACCATGAAAAAGAGATCAAGGACAATGAACATATGACAGATGGAAACTTCATAACATAAGGCATCTGCATGCATGGTATGAGGAATCCAGGTATTTTTTTTGTACAGCAAAAATTTATCAATGAATGATTGGTTACTTTAAGTTTCCATTGAATGAACTCTCAAGCTATTGTATTATTCAATGGGACAGTCCACTGACCAACAACAACTGATTCTCATAAAATGTTTAATTTCCTTTGCCATAAGCACCTGATTGATTAAGATTTTATTCAGGTAATGAATGCATATAGGCAAAAGCTTTGTCAATGAATATACTCTTTTCTGGCCACTGAACGGTAATAAGAGTCAAACTTGACAATATAATTTACAATAGTTGTCTGAATATTCACATCATGTAGCTGTTTCAATGATCTTGAACTTTTATCAATTTACAAGAACCGTAATAACAACAGAGAAACTTAAAACTTAAGATTTCTAGTTTGAAATCCTATAATTTCACCATAAAGATAACTGCATGACTGCATAAGTCACAACTATAGATTTTAATGTGAATAATCAAGTGGATTTTAAACTTGTAGATTTTTATCGCCTGTAGTTGACGAAAAAAGTGTAGGGACCATTTCAAAATTTCCAGTCTTGTTAAAAAAAAGAAGAGTAAATGTTCACATGCAAGCATTTTGCTATAGGAAAACAAAATAGTTTTACCTGTAATGATAAGATAAAAATTATTCAAAACATTTTGTTTTTAAAATCTCTTGTCTGTAGAATTTCATTTGGAATGGGTGAGTGTGAGTAAAAGTAAACTTTGAGAAACACATGTCTAGATCAATAAAATTACTGGTAATGGCCGATTCAAGAGAAGAACACGGAGGAGGGCAAGCCCCTATGTTATGCCAAATCTGTGAGATTGCCAGAGGTATAGAGTGGAAGTGCTTGGATTGTGATTTACTTATGTGTCAAAAATGTAAGGAAAAAATCCATCCAAAGTTCAAGTTAGCCAATGAACACAAAATTGTCAACATTAAAGATGTCGGACATAAGGAAGTTCAAATTAGAAGTTGTGAAGAAGAAATATATTTTGGTAATATCAAATGTACCGAACATTCTGAAGAAACTTGCTGCTTGTACTGTAAAGTATGTGATAAACTTATCTGTATGCAATGTGTTACAAAAACACATAAATCACATATTTTTGAAGAAATAAGCAATGGTTATTCAATCAGAAAAGAAAATTTAAAGAAACATGCCATAACACTGAAAGAACAAGACAAAACTTTAACAAATGATATTGAAAAATTGATTAAAATAAAAGAAGAGGATAAACTTCAATCTGGACAAGTTAAAAAAGAAATCACAACTCATGAAAAGTCTGTAAAGGATGAAGTTGAACAATATACAAAATCTTTAATAGATGAACTGGACACAAAATGGGGTTCACGTCAAACCGCAATTGATAAAGAAATAGACCGAGTCAATGAGTTAAAGATAAAAATTCAACAAAAGGTGAAGAAATCAGAAGATGTAATGAATATCAAAGAAGTTACGGATTTTTTTCAGAAGACTGAAGAAATTAAAAATTATATTAAAGAAGATGTCCAAATCTCTCCACTTGAAAAAGATAGTATACCTAGTTTTATATCAGGAAAACTATGTCAAAATTGCAATTTTGGAAATTTAAAATCAAAAAATGAAATGGATGAAGAAAAAAAATCTTCTATGAAGATTGAATTAAAGATTGGAAAAAAATATTCAACAAATCTCCTCAGTATTATGAGAGTAAAACACTCCATTGATTGAAGTATTTGGGTATATTCACCATCAGATGATGATCATAAAACTGGATCATTGCAAAAACTAAAGCTGATTGAAAACACTCTTCATGAGATCTCCAAGTATGAACTTCTTGTTCATGATATGACTATCACTCCATTGAATGATATTTTACTATGCACAGATAATAACAAAATTGAGCGCATTGACAACAAAACTGGACAATTAAGGAATACTAAATACAACGCATGTCTGACTGCAGGATGTCTAGTGCCTTCAGCTATTTGTATGAAAGGAAATACAATAATTTTCAGTGCTGTCAACACAGATTACCCAGCACATGGAAGACGAGTAGTTATAAGGTTGAATAAAAATGGAAAACAGGAGCATTTACATGAATACTGGGGAAATGGTAAACCAATTTTTTCGTTTCCTCTTTTCTTACAGTGTTCAAATGATAAGGACAATATATTTGTTGTGGATGGTTTATCAGGTGAACCTATAAGTGCATTTAGAATTATCCTTATCTTAGGAACTGAGAAGATAGACAAATATGTAGGCCATTCAAGTATAAATTCATTTGATGAAAAATTTTGCCCAACCGATATTCAAGTAGCACCATCAAACAACATCATAGTAAATGACTTCAGTACTGATACACTTCACATCCTTAACCCATCTGGTCAACTTTCTGTGTATGTGAGCTTGAGTGACATGGGCATTCAAAATAGCTTTAGTTTATGCTGCACTTCAACACAACTTTTTATTGGATGTGACTCAGTTCAAGAGAATGGATGTGAATCAATTCAAGAAAATACCAACATGGCAAAGTTATGTGAACTGAACATAGAAGGATGTTCACATTTTGTTTAAAGCATATATTTCTGAATTGCACTTAATGCAAAAATTTGACTGGAAGCGAAACATTAGTAAAGTTTAAAATAACTCTACATGGATTTGATTTGATTTGATTTTTGGTGTTTTAACGCCACTTTTAAGCACCGCTTTTGGGCTATTTCGTGGCGGCCAGTTTTTATTGGTGGAGGAAGCCGGAGCGCCCGGGGAAAACCACCGACCTTCGATAGGAAAACTGACAATCCTAGTCAATTAAGATTGGAGTCGAGTGCAACCGCACGAGCGGGGTTCGAACTCACAACCTCAGTGTTGACTGGCTAGTGATTACAGTAGTAACTACTTAGACCACTCGGCCACCGAGGCCCCAACTCTACATGGAATCAACTCAAATATATTACTGTACATAAAGTATATAATTAAACTTTAAAACCAATTTGCATCCTAAAAGCTTCTCAAATGCCTCATTCAAAGAATTACTGAAATAACCATGGATAAGTTACTAGCTGCGGAACCGTAGCTCTTAGGTCCTTGTGATATTTTTTTAACTATTTGTGGACCATAGATCTGCAAATAGTCAAAATATATCATAAGGACCTAAGAGCTACGGTTCTGCAGCTAGGATAAACCCACAATAGCCACAATCTAGTCCTCTTTCCCTCAAATGTAACATCATTGAATGCTACTTACAACACAATTTTAAATCACTATGAGCATGACATGTCTATTCAACTAGTCAAGTAGTGTTTTAAAGGCTGTTGTTTTGTTTTTTCGGAATGTGTGTCTGGCGTACAAAATTTTAATCCTATCTATGGTGAGTTTATTGGTCTTGTCTGTTATTTTTCACTAAGATATTTATTGACCCTTTAGTAACTTTTTCCTTTTTTTTTTAGTTTTCTACATTATCACTTGATTCCTACATCTGCATCCTTAAATCCTACACCATGAACAGGCCAGTTTAAAATGATGTGCTTCTTGTTTGATTTCTCATTTTCCCCCTATCAAGCTTACTTGTCAGATCAAATACCATTGTATTTTTTTTGTTGTTTTTCACCCAGTTGCATACAATCAAATACAGTTTATATATTCTGTTGCAATGATTCATGGTAATTTGTATGTACCACTGTCAGCATGCTTTATTAGTATTGTCACAGATGTGGTGAATTAAGAAGGAAAAGGTCATGAGCATTGGCACTGCATACTATGAAAACAACCAAATTCAAAAGATCAGGAACTAAAAACCTGGTGTCAGCAAAGACGAAGTTAGCAATTTTTGTGTGAGGCACAGTTCTAAACCTTTATCAAAATGTTGAATGAAAAAGGTAGTGTGAAATTGTCAACAACACATGATACAAAATAACTCTATAAAACATGAAAGTTTGTGGGCAAAGCTGCACAAAGTTGTTGTTATGCTACAATAGGTGGAAAAATGATCAGTCTTAAAACTCCTACTTAAATTGCAAAATCACAAGAACTAGACATAGTGTATAGACTAGTATAGTGAAGAAGATGTTGATCTCTAGATATATCTTTTTTTAATTGTCTTATTTGGTTTTCTGTCTTCCCTACAGCTCTTTTATTCATATCAATAGGCCAAAGAATGGTCAATAAACTCATTATAGATACCAGGCTTAACATTTTGTGGGCCATATGCGCTTTTCATCTTCAAAAGACTTATCATTGACACTTGAATAAAAAAAGTTAAAAAGGCCAAATAAAGTAAGAAGTTGAGCAGCATTGAGGACACAAAAGTCTGAAAGGTTTTGCCAAATACAGCTAAGGTCATCTATTCCATGTATTCCTGGGGTAGAAAATCCTTTGTATTTCGAAAAATTCAAAGTTTGAAAACAGCCAACTAATAATTATGACCATATCAATGATAGTTCACATCAACACAGAAGTGCTGACTACTGGGTTGGTGATACCCTCAGGGAGGAAACCTCCACCAGAGTTTTACAATTATCTGCATGATTGTCCAATAAAAATGCAATATATGGAGAATTACAAAAAATAACATAATAATTTACTACAGAGGAAAGCTTTCAGAATTATGGGATCATAGTAGTGTTTACAAAGTGATAATCGGTAAAAAAAACTAGAGGCTCTAAAGAGCCTGTGTCGCTCACCTTGGTCTATGTGCATATTAAACAAAGGACACTCTCCATTATAGACGAGAATAGAATTCATGACAAAAATCTCTGTTTTGTTGATCTTGTATAACTGATCATTTAGTCTGTTTATCTTTTTCTATCTTCTTTAGTTTTTGCACAAAACACAAAAGAGGGTAAAAAAAATCCTCATTTAAGGCAATCACTCCTATAAAGAGTGACAGTCTACTAACTATATCGACAAAATTTGACTTGTTAGTAGATCTTAATTGCCTATCTAATCATTTTTGTGATTTAAAGTGTCTATTTATCTATTATAATTTTAATCATATAAGGCAAAACCCCAAAAAAAAGGTAAAAATCGTCATTAAAGGGCAATAAGTCCAAATAAGGAGTCGCCGGACGATTTCCTCCAAATTGTCTTAATTGTAGATCTTGTCTTGCTGATCATTTTTGCTTATTTAAGTTTCTATCTATCTAAGATATAAGTAAAAACGCAAAAAAATGGTAAAAATCACCATCAAAGGGCAATAACTCTTATAAGGAGTCGACTGACGATTTCGACCATGAGACTTATTTGTAGAACTTGTCTTGCTGATCATTTTTGCAATTTAAAGTTTCTCTCTATCTATCATAGTTTTCAAGACAATAGGCAACAAGAGTGCACACGCTGAAATGTCTCGCCTTTTTTATTAATCATTGATATTATGTTGATAGTCCTAAATATAAAGCTTTATTACAACTGTCACATAAACTTAACATAAACCAAAAAACTAAACATTAACCAATGAACCATGAAAATGAGGTCAAGGTCAGATGAACCATGCCAGGCAGACATGTACAGCTAACAATTCTTCCATACAACACATATAGTTGACCTATTGCTTATAGTTTAAGAAAAACAGACCATAACACAAAAACTTAACACTGAGCTATGAACCGTGAAAATGAGGTCAAGGTCAAATAAAACCTGTGCGACCAACATATAGATCATAAAATATTTCCATATACCAAATATAGTTGACCTATTGCATACAGTATAAGAAAAACAGACCAAAACACAAAAATTTAACTATAACCACTGAACCATGAAAATGAGGTCAAGGTCAGATGACACCTGCCAGTTGGACATGTACACTTTACAGTCCTTCCATACACCGAATATACTAGACCTATTGCTTATAGTATCTGAGATATGGACGTGACCACCAAAACTTAACCTTGTTCACTGATCCATGAAATGAGGTCGAGGTCAAGTGAAAACTGTCTGACGGGCATGAGGACCTTGTAAGGTACGCACATACCAAATATAGTTATCCTATTACTTATAATAAGAGAGAATTTAACGTTACAAAAAATCTTAACTTTTTTTTCAAGTAGTCATTGAACCATGAAAATGAGGTCAAGGACATTGGACATGTGACTGACGGAAACTTCGTAACATGAGGCATCTATATACAAAGTATGAAGCATCCAGGCCTTCCACCTTCTAAAATATAAAGCTTTTAAAAAGTTAGCTAACGCCGCCGCCGCTGGATCACTATCCCTATGTTGAGCTTTCTGCGACTAAAGTCGCAGGCTCGACAAAAATGAAAAAAAAAAAGGTAAATTTGTCATTTAAGGGCAATAACTCATATAAGAAGTTGTATAACAGTTTTGACGTATATGGACAATTGGAAGAGCTCAAAATTCTGAACATTTTTGGTTCGTAAGATTTTTTCTATTTATAACAGTTTTCAAAATAATAGACAAAATTTGCATTTTACCCCTATGTTCTATTTTTAGCCATGTCAGCCATCTTGGTTGGCAGGCGGGGTCATCGGACACATTTTTAAAATTAGATACCCCAATTAAGATTGTGACCAAGTTTGGTTAAATTTTGCCCAGTAGATTCAGAGAAGAAGATTTTTGTAAAAGATAATGACGACGGACGACGTTGAACATAAGGCAGGTGTTTGAATTATTTGTTTTTATTGATTTTACTCTTTGTTTTATCATGTTTATCTTTGATAACAGAATCCATGCTGCAGTGTTGACTTAAGCATCAGGCACACTTAATGGTACAGAACATTTAGAGAATAATAAGGACCAAATTAACTCAATTTGCCAAGTTGTTTCGAAGAAGATTTTTAAGGGAGTTATTGGATGGATTTCAAACTGA